ATTATCCAATCGATAAAATAAGCTATTAAGTTTTAAGATAAAGTTGGTCAAAAGCACATCATATCGTTATGATTACATTTATGTACCAAAACTTCTTTATTTATATTTATATTTTTGATTTCATTGTTTTATTTATATTAATTGTCATTAAATAATTACTTATAGCCTTATTATGGTATAATTGATTTATAATCTTATAAAATAAATTGAATATAACAAATCTATATAGCATAAAGACTACATTTATAATTTAAAATTTATATGATAATTTATTTTGAGCCCCCATTAGAAAATTTGACCCGGGCCCTAAAATTCCTAAGTTGAACTCTGGTTATAATATATATGAATTGATCCCGTTGCTTGCTAGTTGACTACAATAGAGACATGATAAACATTAAAAAAAAAAAAACACATACAATTGGAGGATGACTTCAATCCGTTTGGGTCCCTTGCGTACCCTGCTTATTGCAATGGAGTATTTATGTAAGCATTCCCATTTATATACAACGTGTTTGTGTTTTGGGAATATATTATACTTATATTTATTATTTATGATATACCGTGTTATAAAACAATCATTATAAAATAAGATTTCGTAAAAATTTGAACTATAAACGCTTATAAAAAAAAAATTGTGACTAACAATTTTTAATGTTTTTTTAGCTACAATAAGAACATCTCATAAGGAACCTTGTATTAAATTTTCAAGTTTTTTTGGTCGTCCAACATTTTTTTACCGACACTTCAAAAAAAATTCTCAAAAAAAAAAAATTTCAGTGGTCTATAAATAACTCAAAAAAATTCAAAATGAAAATTAAACTGTATATAGATAACACTAACATAGACATTTGGTGAAAATTTCAAGTCTTTACAGTTATTAGTTTTTGAATTACAGCCATATAAAGGAATCGATTTGGTCGAAAACTGATTTTGCGTAAAAATTACCATTTTTTTTTTGTTTTTCTCGATTTTTTTGTAAACTATTGGAAAATGTTTATTTTTGACCTCTATAATGCACCAAGGACATTCACTTTTACATCGGAAACCACCCCCAAAGTTTGAAATCGAAGCATTATTTCGACTAGTTATGCTGTACACAGACACAAAAAAAAAACACACACACATCATTGTAAAATCAATACATTCATCACTTCGTTCAGAATCTAATACGTTGTCAATATGATTTGTCATTATAAAACTTATTATCATAAAATATAAGACATCGTAAAAAAATTATTACAACTCAAAATAATTTACCTATAATGTGGATTTGAATTAACCGTAAAGAACATTTTAGATACACCAAAAAATACTCATAAATATGACATTAGACTAGACATCAGTATATAATAGAGTAAACATTGTTTATACAATTAAATTTACAGGATTCACAATCTCTTACCATTAAAAAAAATCCATTATCTTTCTGTTTGGATATACACCTGTTTGCATTACAACAATAACTTGCTACTTTAAAATTTCAGTACTACCAGTCTTTAGTTTGCGAGCAGTTTGAAATGTGTTTGTTATTTTAAAACTTCCTCGCTTCTTAGCAGAATGTCCATCTCTTTGGATGGAATCTACTACCTCGGCGTTCCAACACCGGAATGTAGCTATATTGCCTATACATAACGCCGTGGCACAAAGCTTATTAAATTGAGTTATGTTATTTTTTGCATATTACTATACGAGCTAATAAGATAAAAAAATGTATAATATATCTTAGGTAGGCACTACTTGTAAATTTAATTGACCATGACACAAATTTTTGTGGTTTTAAAAAACTATTAGTTCAAATTTTAGATTTAGGGAATTTCACATTACCGGTTTTTGAAGAAAAAGATACTCATACAATTTCCGACGTTCTCGACTGAGTTTTATTTAGTTAATAATTTTGAAAACATATTTGAATTAATTATAAAGTTTATTTGGATTCTCTGAGACAGAAGTATAAAAAAAATTAAAAACTGTATTTTTAAAAATAAAATTTCAAAATATACTAGGTTTTATTTTAGAATAACATACATTAAGAATGTGGCTCATAAGAGTTAAGTTGGCTCAATAAAAAAATAAAAATCATTTTTAATATCATTAATGACTCAAAACTCGAGTTGGTATGTTGGAACTCGTTTTCGTCTGATTAACAACATTTTGCCACGAAAAAGAATATTTCAGTAGTAATTTGAGTAAATCACTGTAATACTCGTTTCTGTGTTAAAACTAAATTCAATGATAAATCTTTGAATACAAAGCAATAATCCTGACTAATTCCTGAGTGAAGGTGGTGTATCAGYGACATATACTAGGCTGATTCAGCCTATACTAAAAGTATATTGTATAATTTAAATAATTTATATTTTATTTCGCTATCATATAACATATATGGTAAATTAGATCAGCGCACTGTTGGTTTTCTCTTTCTAACTCAGTTGTAACATATAGAAAAAAATAATTCATGCAAAATAATTTTTATATTTTTGAGTTATCTAAATGTAAAATCATTTATTACAAAAATCATAGAAAATAATACTTGTCCTAAAGTTAAGTTTTCTAATACAATCTTACATCAATTTAAATATACAAAATATTTATTTTTAAAATCGAGTATAAAATCAAGTTTTAATAAGTACCCACGTATAATATTTTTAATTTATGACAAAATAACTCAAATCGTTATTCTTCGTTTAACTATCCAATATCGTTAAATTTTAAACTTCAACCACTCATAATATATTAATATCTAAGCATTTTTATTGCCCCAAAGACGATGGCAGACTAAAAAAATAAAACACATGTCAATATAAGTCAATACATTCATCACTCCATTTAAAATCTAAAAACATGAACATAGATGAGAGACCTACCAATGTGGGAACCTTTAGAATATTTAAATTTATACAAAATACGTGTTTATTTTACATTAGACAAGTGCAGGTATTTAATATACCGTAACGTATTTTGAATATATTAATAAAGCTACTTAAACGTTCATTAAATTTTTAATACAAAATACAACGAGGCTTAATATTTCAAACATCTAGTATACCTAATTTATTTGACTATTAAACGGATAAAACCATGAGATATTGAGTTATTTTTGCCGTAAAATAAAAACTTGACGTATCTACCTACTTATTAACATTTTAATATATTGAAATTTTTATGTATTTAGCTAGTATAAAATAATTATGTGAATTCTTTTTAACCAATATTCGATTATCGTTAACAAGTGTAACGTATATTTGATGAATTATACAACTTGTTTATGAATAAATATGCAATACAATACAAAAAGTATGAACTATTACTAGGTACCATTTATGGCATTGTACTAATTTGGACAAATAAACGTGGCTATTGGGACAAATGGACCAAAAAAACTAATGAATGAAAATATTAGTAAGAAAAATTTTAAAATACAAAATAAATATCAAAAACTATGGTTTATGTTATTTATATCTATCAATCTATTATAAATTATAATACCTCAAAAATTAATTCAAAATATCAAAAATTGTATTTATGCTTATTTATTGTTATTAAATTGACATTGTAAGTAGTATTGTACTATTACTACTCATATGTATACTACTATACTATACTCGGACACTTGTTAGGTACTGGTACATTTGGACACATACTAAAAGTTTCAATTACCAAACCGATTGAATATAATTTTGATTTTAACTAGTTGTTGTACTACCCTTTAGCTTTAAACAATTATCCCGCCAAGTGTGATTGTTTGGTTGAAACATGGTTAAGATGTAATAGTGTTGGACTAACGAAAGTGCCAAGAAATATTTCTTCTAATCTTAAAAGAATGTAAGTAAATAATCGAAATAATTTACCAACAACAAATTATACTTGTTATTAAAAATGTAATTAGCAAATCTATAAGATGTATTTCGCACAATTTATGCAACATATTTTTTTTTATCACCCAGTGGTTAATACATATCGTCTAAGACTGGGGTCACCAATTAATACTTTCCACGGGTCACATTAAAAATTCGGAAAATTCTCGCGTGCCATAAAAATTCAAAGTACATAAAATTTATTATAGTATGCCGGTTGGCCAAAAATATTTTATTTCTAAATAAAAATATATACACTTATTAATTATTTAACTAAAACTAATGAAAATATAATTAAATTAATGGCTTTTTTTCTCAGTCTGCGGGCCGGTTAAAATGCATTCGTGGGCCGGATGCGGCCCGCGGGCCGCCATTTGGTGACCCCTGGTCTAAGATAAGGACGGCAGTGACCCAAATTTTGATATCACCATTTGTTTGTTTACACCATACATACATATTAACGGTATCATCAATGCTTTAATAGAGTACTTCGTTAATAATTACTAAAACAGCGAGTTTTTGATATTTACTGTAATTAGCGTATTACTGTATTGCCGTATTAACTGTAATAGTAATAATGAGTAGTAATAATGAGTAGTATATTATTTTGATTGTTATGCACAATTTATTTACATAATTAACGAAATAAGTATTTATACAACGCCTTTGAGCTTATTAGTTTTGATAAAAGAGTTATTGTATATTATTTTAATATAATTGTTATACATAATTAACTTCTACTAAATCAGTTCTGACTGATTACAATATAATTTCAATTATAAAATATATAGTCATATAATATTATTTTAATGTATTTTAGATCAATGAGGAGCAATAATATTGTTCTTTCTAATGATTCATTTKATGGGTATAATTCGTTGGTAATGATGTAAGTGATGACCACGAGTTAAAACATACAAGGACAAAACATTAATCCATAACATTTTTAAATATTTATTTTTCAGTCACTTAGAATATAATAAATTATCAGTAATACCTCCGTTCGTCTTTAAAGATCAAAATAAATTGAGATATCTGTAAGAAGTTTTTAATTATTTTTTAAAATAAAATTATAAATGACTTTATCTATTAAAAAGTATTAATAGATAACTATAGTTAATTCTTTTTTCATTTAATACCTATTAATATAATTTTTTTCAGTTTTTTATTACGTAATGAATTGAATGTTTTGGAAAAAGACGCCCTTTACGGATTGGATAGTATTAGTACCCTATTTTTGGATAATAATCACTTGGTCTATTTAAATTTAAACTCCTGGAAACATATGGTCAAAGTGAAATGGATGTAAGAACCAAAATGTTTAGTACATATATATGTATATTGTATATATAATTTAATTGCTTCACTGTAGATATATTTGTTTAGATATCTTTCCCATAATTTGTTGACTTTTAAGAACGAATGCTTTCCACCCCTTACGAATCTTGAAATGTTGTAAGTACCTATTTTCTTTTTTTATTACATCACTAATAAATATATAATATAAATTAATAAATTAATAAAATAGATGAAATATACTTATTGTTTTTAAATCTTACTTTACGTTATTTTAATAGACATTTACAATGGAATCGTATTGAAACAATAAATGAGTTCATGTTCGCAGACTTACCAAATCTATCGGTTTTGTAAGAAAATTTATTTATTATGATTAGGAATAAAATAGAAATACCATTCCAACATTTTTCTTACAAATAATTAAATTTGTTTTATATTTAGTATACCTATTTACATTATTTTCAGGAATTTAAGTAACAACGCTATCACAGTGGTTCATAAGAATGCATTTCAAAACTTATTAAATCTTTCTGATTTGTAATGATTCAAGTTTTTATTAATAAATCAATGTTTTAATTTTAATTTTAACACAAGTGTATAATCAATTTTACAGAAATATAGCTGACAATTACATTACAACAATCACGCAGGAAATGTTACACCCATTAAAAAAATTAGATAAATTGTAATGTTACGCTATAATTTTTGATTCAGTTAATTCTAATTCTTTTTTTTTCTAGAGTTTTAAGAAACAATCCAATCACGAGAATAAATAATGTTATTTTCACTGACATGAAAAGTCTATCTTCATTGTAAGTTGTATTTATTTTGGAGATTCATATGAGATATTGCACTTAAATGCATATTAAATATCCATATCCTTGAGTTCTATTAAATTTAATTCACATATTTTTGTTGAAAAATGATTAGATATGTTGAGTGTTGACCAGGGGCGGATTTAGGTATGTGGTGACCACTGGGCGGAATGCATTGTGGGTGCCCCTACACATAAATAAGAAAAAATATTTTTTTACTTATTAAATAGCATTTATCATCATATTTAGTATACTACTATAGTAGTAACAATTTAACTACTTATTTAATAATAAATAATTATAAAAACAATCAAAACAAGAATAACTATAGTATAAGTAATATAATCATAATATTGGGTGTAAGTAATTAAATAAAGAATAATAAAAATAATAAAGTCAGGTAATTAAAATTAAATGCCTGGAACTTTTTTTAATTTCAATTGTACAAACTTATCAATAACGTTTTGAAAATAACACCGATTACGAATGGCATAAAAACCTATCTTATCTAGATTCTTAGATACCGTTCATTGTCAACAAACGCGAATACATCTATTATTATAGTTAGTAAAATTAAATTTTTTAAATGTCCAAATAATGTTCAATATTTTTGATTACATAATATGTGTAAATGTGAGTATTTAATATAATTTAAATAAAATATTTTTTCTGTATCCTAATTTAAATATCATAACATTGGTGGGTCCCTGAATTTGTGGGGGGCCCTGGGTTTCAGCCCACTCAGCCCTCCCCTAAATCCGGCCCTGGTGTTGACAATATTAATGTAATACAATAAATTATTTATAGATTAGAAACACTAATACGATGTGTTACCAATACATTTTTTGCGCAATTAATTCACTCATAAAAAATTGGTATTTGAATTATTGAATGATTCTAAAAATCATGTACATCATCTAAAAGTCCATTATATCATATAACAACTATCTATATAATATAAATGTGCGATATAGGTAGGTAAATAAAACATTTAGGTATTTTATAAAAGTTTTATTTGAATTTTTTAATCAAAAATACACGTCATCTCAAAACAAGTAATAATTTAATTGGATAATAATATATCTTTCTTTCAAGCGAGATAGTCGAGTTACACTTTTTGCCTATCTTAAATCTACACTCGGGTATTAAAAAAAAAATGCGTTAAACAAAAATGTTCAAAAAATAAAGTTAATTTAAATATTTGTATAAACCACTAACTTCCCTTCTCGCTTAAAATGCAATCATTAGCATACTAATTATTATTTGTATTCTATTTAATTTTATACGTATTACAAAAAAAATGATTAATTAAAAAAAAAATATTGCACGTTTATCACACAATACGAATATTATATTAACATTATATATATATATATATGTATATATAATAAAACTAATTTTAACTATGCTAATGATTAAAACCATTGTTAGTCCTAAGTTTTTAAGCGGAAAGGGAAATGAGTTGAAGCTTTTTGAATTCAAGTGGCTTTCAACATTATCTGCTTTTAAACCGAGTGCATTTCGATCATTATTTATTTTTTTACTCGAGTGCAGTTGGGCCGTTGGACGTTTATCTTATTTTAACCCTAGAGCGATTCGACTAAAATAAGTGCAATTTGACTTTATCCCTTTCAAGCTAAGTATGAATGTGTAATAATTGATAATATACATCATTCCATTTAACAATATGATTCACTAAACACAGTAATTTACCTTGTATAAAATGGTCCAAGTAGTCGACGAATGTATATTAATTATTCTAAATATTTTATTAATGTTTATTGTTTACACTCGGGTAGTAAGGTAAGTATTTTTTGGAACTATTAAGGCTAAACCTTAATTAATGAACTCTAAATTTCCAATTTATTATGTATTTAAATAATTATGAAAACAGTATAGAGGTTACTAATGTACCATTCAATTTTTAATTTAATTGTGAATTTCTGGTTATCTATTGTATGGCTATCCGTTATTAATGATGTACATATTATTTTATATTAACCTGCTAAATAAAAGTGTTTCTAATAATATTTAATGTTTTATACCTAACCTATAATACTTCTAGAACAAAAAACGTATTCAATTAAATTATACCGAAACTTATGTGTTGCACTTTTCCACCAAAGCCATTAAACCCTAAGTACGTTTACCACCGGTAATATAATAAATACTTCCGTCTTCCATTTAGAAACCATTTCTTTTAAAAATCACGGGAGTTAATAATTATAAATTGAAAAAATAAATAATTAAATTTTTAAAAATCGTATTCATGTATATTGTACAATACGCATTACACGATATAGTTGAAACATTAAATATTATACACATTAAAAAAAAAAATATTTAAGTACATAAAATTAATAATTTATTTACTTAGAATACGTCTGCAATATATATATTTTGTTTTATAAATTAGAATTACTGACTTTGTACATGGATGTACGCAAAGGTTGTTACAAACGTATATCGCCGTATCGGAGTATTTCTCTTTTTATAACGATCAATAAATTACTTTTTTTTTTATAATTTTATTACTTGGTCTTTTAGGATTTTTGTAGTTCGAGTCTGAAATATTCAATATGAATGTGCCATGGCTCATTTGATCATTGAATTATTAACAATTCTATCATTTTCATTTGTGTATGCTTTTGTTATAGATATAGTTTTTAATTGTATAATTACGAACTTTTTACACAAGCCAACTGAAAATTTTAAATTATATAAAATTAGATATATTACCCCGACCACTTTTAACTATAATATATTTTTCATTTCTATATACACAGTAATATAATTTGTGTCAAGTACTTCTTTAATAATATTATGAATTCATGAAATAGATGAAAAGATAAAACCATTGATCTTAATCTTAGTTATCACATGGATTTTTAACGTAATATTTCCCATTCATATAAAAAATGGAGAATTCAGAAATAGTGATATAAGATGTAAATCTATTATTATAGCATGTAAATTCTTATAATATAAAAGGCTTCATAAATCTGAAATTTGAAATCTTTTATAGCGTAAAATGGAAGTATATACTATTGTAGGCACTGAATTGAATTATGCACGTTAGGGGTAACGGTGACGTCTCATAATTCTTATCATTTCAGTAATAGATAATATAATCAATTTATTAATAACAACTAAAATACCATATCAATAACCTACTTATTCATTCCGTTGTAAATTTATAGTATTTAAATGTATGTTCCTATAAGTAGATACCTTAAAAAATATCTTTACCTTCTAATATTAAAATGATCTTGACGTTTAATCTTTTAGATTACTTAGGTGGTAAATATTTTAAGCAGTTGGTATGAATATCATACATTATTTAGTAATATTTATTATGTAGGTAATTTAATTAAATAAAGGTGATTAAATCTATTAAAATGAAATTTAATTTAATTTTACTATTTATGGTACCTAGCTTTATGTATCTAATTTAGGATTAAGGATCTTCCAAGGCCATGAGTATATTTTAGTTTGTAATTTTTACTAAACATTTTCTTCTACATAGAAAAACAAAAAAAAAAATTAAAATTAAAATAAACGAAATATCCTTAAACAAGAATTAAGGAACTTTCTTCACCTACCTTAAATCTTAAATTCACAAGTTTCTTAATGTTACATTGCTTATATTTACTCTCTAGTTCATTATATATATTGATAACTTCTTTAAATTATATTAAATTTTTTAAATCTAGATTTGTTGAAAATTTAAATTTAATTAATTTATGTTTTTAGGCTATATTTATAATTTATATACCTAGATACTGTAGGATTCTATAAAAGCACATAACTATTAAATATAATTAAACAAAATTAGATATTGTACATTTCTCGCACTCTCAGAACGGATTTAAAGGGGGAGTAATTAAAATATATCTAATATAAGAACGGATAATAGACAATATTAAATAAACGAAATAATGTGTGTATAAGTTTTGAATCATTTAAAAATTTAAGATATATAGGGAAGAAGAGATATCTAATTTCGATAACCTTTGGGTACACTATATATTAATATTGTCTTATAATATTTTTGTCAAATTGTATTTCAATTATATCATTTCATTAAAAATATTATCTTAAATATAACAGTTCGATTAGTGGTCTTCAAACTAAGGGTCACGTGAGCTTAAAATTTTTTTGGCTAATAAAGCTGACATAGGTCGCAAAAAATGTATGGTAAGAAAATTGGGTCATGAGTAAAAAAATCAGAAGACCACCATGAGTTAGTTAATAGTAAGATAGGTATCGTATTGATTTTTTTATTTATCTGGTTATTTTTTTCTTTTTCAAGAAAGAGTATAATAATTAATAATAATTGTTAACATAATATTATGAATATTTTGGATTGTTTAATTAAATTTATTAAACTACATTTATGGATTCTATAAAGAAAATATATTTTACAGAGATATAAATGGCATAAGTAAAGAAAATATTGAAATGTCATTATTCGATAATTTGACTACACTGGAATTTCTGTGAGCTGATATTATTTAAAATAATTAAAATAATAATAATAATAATTTTTTAATTTAAAATGTAAACAGTTTTATTGGTTTTGTTCCAGTTACTTAAAAGAATTTCATTATTGTGTCTTGTATGCCCCGCATGTTAAGTTTTGTTCACCAAATACGGATGGTAAGAGCCAACAATCAATTAAATATTATTAAAGTAAATTAATAGCAATGATTTGTTTATATTTTATTCATTAAAATAAAAATAATGTAAAAAGTCACTTAAGCATATTATTATTTTTCTGTGAAGTATAAAATATACAATAATATGATATTAAGGGTTATCATCAAGTTTAAATATCCTACCAAATTCAACTTTCCGATGGTTTCTTTGGATGGTGACAGTCCTAACATTCGTCTTTAATGTATTGGTTTTATATGGTCGGATGTTTAGTACTTTTGGAGATGAAAATAAAGCAATAAACTTTGTCATACGGAATTTAGCTGGTAATAACAAGTCTATTGATTTTCTTAGTTAAATTCTTATGCATATACGAATATATATTGCATAATATATAAATATGTTTCAGTTGCAGATTTGTTCATGGTAATATACTTAACGGTTATTGGTTATCATGATCAAATGTACCGGAATGAATATTATTTGTATGCACACAAGTGGGAGTCCTGTATCTTGTGTACTATGATTGGAATTATGGCCGTGATTTCATCAGAAGTATACTACCCATTTAAAATCTTTATAATAATTACAAATAAAATGTTCAGAAAAACCTATTTAATATTTTTCCAAACAATTTGTCAATTATTATTTTGTTTAAAATACCGAAAGATCAAATTACTGATAATGAAACCGATTTGAAAAAATATTTTGATTATTATTGCTTCTTCTCGAGCATACGTAAATACGTATTTTTAATTTTGTTGCTGCTTTTAAAATTTATTTTGATTTTTTAATCGGAAAATTGTTTTACTTTTCACCAGATAAATGGTTACCTATTCTTCTTATACCTATTCTTTTTTTATATTCTACAAAAATATGCTAACGATCGTTATTTTGTTAAGCATTTGAAATCTGGATTTATGCAGTAGTATTCTGAGCTTGTTGGTCTAAACACATGAGAAAAAATCACTTCCAACCGCCTTCAAGTAATTGGCCAAAATTTTGATTATAGGTATCTATGCTCATCCTGGTGTTTCTCAGCTTAGAAAGATTCTTACTCATTGCTGTACCATTTTCTGGATATCAAGTATTGAAATTAAAAACAGCTGTTTACTGTATGGTATCAATTTGGGTGGTAGGAATAAGTATATCAATTGCACCATGTAAGTATTATACAAGAAATTGTTTTTTTGTTGAATTAGAATATGATTCACATAGGCCAAGTATTGAGATTAAAAAGGCATATATATTGATTGACACTAATAATAATAATTAGACTTAAGTGGTTCCAAATAAACAAACAACAGACCAACAATAGGTACCTACTTATTCTATACAAGAACTGCAGTTAAACAGCGTGAAAATATCCGTCTTTTTGTGCAGTGACGATTTGACACTGTTAATGGCTGAGAGAAATAATGAACTGTTCAATAACGTGCTTGAATGTGTTTTAACTTGCAAAAAAAATATGATGCACCATCACAATTTTAAAACTATCACTTAATCACCGTCATGGCTGGGGAGGCCATTTATAAAATTTAAATTTTTTACTTACTACAACGWTCTGTATTTTATAATCTATATTTGTGACTTTTTATTTTTGTATGGAAATTATATAGCACTACTATAATCATATAGAAATCTGTGTTTCAACCACGGTAGATTATACGCCAAGAGGCTAAGAATCAAGTCACTGGGGAGACCGGTGCCCACACTGCCTCCCCCGTAGACACACCTATGATTTGACTTATAAGTTATATACGAACGTTCGCTGTTAGTGTTATCCTCATACCCTTATTAGTTTTAATACTACTAAAAATACTACAATTATTAAATATGATTAACATTTTTTTTTTATGAAGTTTTTATATTTATAATTTACGATCTCACTATTTTGGAATCAGATTATGTATCAAAATGAATTAGTCAAACACAAATATAGTGTATTGTAAATTATCATTCATTAAATTTAAAGTACATAATGCAATATCAAATTATGTCCACCTATATTACATAATATATGTACAATATGACTCTTATCAAAATGCAATTTAACTATAGTGATTTTATGGAAGCACTCGTCAAAATTTTACGGTTCCAATGGTTTGTGCTACCCTTTATATATTGAAGACCCATTTGTTAGTGGGTGGCAATATTCTGCATTCATGTTTTTGGGATTACACACGACAAGGTAGTTTTTATTTTTTTAAGTTATCTATATTTATTCCAAAATCAATCAGTTGTTTGTAATTATTATACGTTTATTATAAGTACCAACACCGCTTTATTRTCATTGCAGTTTACTTCTTATGTCCGTTTTGTACGCGTTAATGTTTATAAGTGTCAGAAAAACAAGACATGCTGCCCGCATATCTGCTGGTGATTACGACTTTGCAGTACGTTTCTTTTTCATTGTTTTGGCCAATATTTTATGTTGGCTACCCATAATCGTTTTGAAATTGGTGGCAATAAGAAAATATCATGTTTCAAGTACTTAACTACTATTTATTTTTCTTTATTAATATATAAAAGTATATTCTTATATAATACCTATACTGTATCTTAACTCAACCACAATTATTTAATGTTTTATAGGTAAGATATACGTTTGGTTAATTATATTTGTTGTGCCAATTAATGCATTGGTAAATCCATTATTATATACTTTCACAACACCCAAGTATATCACAGCATTAACTTCAAAAAATATCTTCAAGATGACATCCCGCGATTCAAGCAGCGGTAAACTATTTAGATCCAATAATTTTATACTTATTGTTATTATTTATTACCCGATTGGATGGTACAATTTTTTAGTACTAGCACAAATTCATCGTTGTTTTCTTATTCGTTTCTAAAGAACTGTAGTGGTTTTAATATAATGGTACCTAACTTAACCTACCTAGGCATTTTAAAGTATCATAAAATGTTTTATTTTATAATTAGTGTGAGCAAACAATATGACTATATTTAATTAAAATTATCTTACATAACATACAATATGCTATTAGACCTTTGAATTCTAAAACATCCATAAATTTGTTATGTCATGCTTAATACTTAGTATTTTAAGTAGGTATTTATTGCATACTGTTGTGTTATGTTTCTCAAATTCTAAGGATGTTACGCATTTGAGAACAATTGGAGTAGTAATTAAATCAGAAACCATACTTTACTGGGTGAATTGCATTACTGTAATAACTATATAGTATAAATTATAACAAGTTAATAACATTTGTTATGTAGTTACTGGTGACAGAAATCATGTATACAATTTAAATTCTACAATACTGAAAATGCAATTGTTAAAATACGCTGAACTAAATACATTTATTTTTATATTTAGTTCAGTGTTAAAATATAATTATGAATATAAAATACAAAATATAAATAAAACATACTGATTTATTCAAATAAATTTGCTCTAGTTTTAAAGTAAATACTCTACCAACCACAATTTTTTCCTAAATGTATTTTTTTCCGTAAAAAGGCAGAAGAAAATAAAAAATGTGCACTCATTAAATTAATATAAACTTTCTGATACATTTATTTGATGAGCGCCATATTAATTTTAATTTTTATAATTTTTCAGTAGTAGACACGTCAAAATCATCGCGCCCAATATCCATGTACAGTAGAAAATATATCAAGAAAAATAGAAAGGAGACACTTGAAGAAAGACTAAATGAAAATAATACCACTCAAGAAAATAGTCTAGAATCAACAAATGATGAATAATTCACCAATGAACTTCTTATCACAGTATTGTGTATTCTACATTCTACTTCTTCAATTAGTATACCTTCCATTCAGTCTATTTTTCATTATCAGAACCTATAACCTCACCAGATGGATTTACATTGCTTCATAAATAATGTAGTATGAAGGTAACGAATTTTCTATAATGAGCATAACCTATAAGCTGAATATAAATTATACATGACTTGATATATATATATATATATACCTATATACCTATATATAATGGATAGCCGGCTAAAAAATATTTATTTACGTCGTAATAAGCAATACCTAGTTAAAAATATATATATTAATACAATAATAGAACATCTGTAACAATATAGAATTGAAAAACTTTCAATTTAACAATAACTTTACATTCTATTCCATTATAAAGTGTAAGATTAGACGACCGTATTGAAATAAAATTCATTCCATGCTTTTTTCTGTACAAATATTACGCAATACGTATATTTGATATTTTTTGCTGTTAGAAATAGAAGTCATTATTTTACTGTAGTTTTTTTTTTGTTATTATTGATCAATTCACTTTAACAACAATGGAATTATTATTGTACTTTTACTTTACCTTTTAATGATGTTTGATACGTTAGATAAGATATACTGCACTTAGGCCACACATGTGCCACCTACACTTATTTTGAAATTGTCAACACCCATGTTGTGATCGGGATTCGGGATTATCATGTTCTATGTTTATTGTATTTTTTCTCACCTGACATATCATAATATATTATTATCTACACTTGAAGCTTTTAATTTATTATAACATTAGTTGTTAAGTAAACATAAAATGAATAAACGACAAAAAATATATTATTTAAATGTATTTTAGTATTTTCTACTTTTTCTATAACTATACGGAACGAAAAGCATTTAAATAATATTAAATATAATAATAATACATTACAAAAAATAAAATATAAAAATAAAATAATGAAGTAAGATTATTTACTTTTTTAGCGACGAGTGTTATTAAATTAAAATAGCATAGATTTGAATCAAAGAATTTTAATGCAGATGTAGCTTTTTATGGAATAGGTTGTAAAAAATAGACCTTTTTACCTGTAAAGAACTCATCGATAAGGTAAACAATTCTGTGATAATTACATTGGTGAAAAATCTAAATTTTATCCAAAAACGTAGGCATCATCTTCAATTTTATCAAAACAAACAACTAAAAACATATGGCGTCCATACATGACATCTTCTTCAAACTTACCAACAATCTTAATATTTGCACATCTACAAAAAACAAAATCACATACCCAAACCATTGACAAATCAATGTCAATACTGAGCTCTTATAACAAAGCAAACATGACAAAAACCCTTATATTATCAACTCTCTTTTCTATGATATTATCCAAACCAAATACCCACACTACACGAAAATATATACGGACGCATCAAAATCCACACATGCAGTCGGTTTTGCAATTTCCCTAGATAATATCACCTGCTCCATAAACTCCCACCTAAATCATGCATATTCTCAGCTGAAACCCAAGTCATTTAAGAAGCTATCATATTGGCTAAGACCATAATCTCAAATGATATTCTAATTTTAAGCGACTCGATCAATGTTTTACTAGTCCTTCAAAACCCTCAATCTTCAAACGAAATCACCCAAAATATCCAAAAAGTAATAAAATCGACCTCTAAAAACATTGAACTTATGTGGATACTATCCCACACCGGTATAACCGGCAAAGAAATGGCTGACAAGGCAGCCGACCTTGCAACTAGAATTATCCCCCACCCATCTATATCTGATCTACCGATTAATGCATCAAAACTGCTATCAACTAAAAAATACTTTCAAAATGGCAAAATTATTGTTATTATTTAACCTAATCTCCCTCTAATAAACTTAAAACAATAAAGAAAAATACAAAGAAATGGATCGCACTTTATTACCTCAACAGACGTCAGGAAGTTACAATCACGAGATTCATAATCAGACATTCATTTCTAACTCGCATTCTTTCCTCATTAGCAAAGATCCACTACCCATTTGTGACGAATGCCTCACCAACCTTTCAGTTCAACACATTATCATTGATTGCATAAATAGTATCGGGACATATGAAACAACTTAGCAATACTACCTTATATGAATGAAGCACTCAACGAAAACAACATCTCCAAAATTATTTCATTTCTGGCCAAAATCAATATTTTAAGCAAATTTTAATAATGTATAAACCTTTTTCCATAGTCTTTAAGTTTAAATGCTTTTTGTAAATTTACCTTTGTTTTTCTACTATTTCTAATATTATTATAATTCATACTAGGCCTGTGATGTTGAAGCTTTACTGCTAGGTAATAATAATAATAAAAAAAAAACATAATATGAGAATCGTTTCATTCAAAACTTAACTCACAAATACTTATAATAATGTCAGCGTTATATTTGTCTTATCTCTGAAACATATATAAAACACGTTCACCTTAAATAATTTTTTTATGATTTTTTAGTAATCTTAGAGCAAATCAGCAGTTATAAAAATTATAGTTGATAATATTTTTAATGGTATGACATTTAAGTGTTTTATTTTTTATTGTTATTTTACTTTGTACTCGAATTTCATAATAAATAAAAGAATTTGAAATTTAAATGATATTTAAATTGTTTTGAGACAGCATTTAGACAAATCGATACGTTATAACCTCGAAAAAATTATTTTACATTATTTTTGGTATGGTCAATTTTACTCTAAGATTACTTAAAAATAATGATACTGCGTAAATATGTTCTGTCTACCTATGTTATTACGGTGGGCAAGTGAGACAAAACAAACAGTGCGCTGAAATTCTGTTAAGCGCATCTTTATAAAATTATATATTTTTGTTTTCACATGTATTGCATTTAAAAATACAAAAAATAATTCATATAAGAGGACTCAAAGTATATAAAATCATCAAAAACAAGAATAATTATGAAATGAAAAATAAATATGTTTAATATAAGTTCTAACGATAAGTTAAATAAACAAATTATGTACTCAATTATATTTAAATTGGCATAGAATAATTATTAAAAAAAAAATACGATTATATTTGATTTTGGAAAAATAATACTATGCAACTATATACAAGCATCAGTGCTAGAGTTATTGTATTTAACACTTTATTGTTTTTTTTTCTGCCATTCCTACCCATTATGTATATGTAATTGATGGTTAGCGAAATCGGCATATACAAATGTTCGTTGAAATGTACAATAAAACCACGGAATCGATAAAATTAAAGGACCCATTGGCTTGCTTAGCAATTTTATTAGCAATTTTACTATATTCTACAATCATCGATCATGTCACAACATCTTTATGTGAATATTTTATTATGTCCAAATTGTGTGATGACATTTTAAGATAACCCTATTCAACGTGGTAAGTGCTCATTAATTTATATTTATATCACGAAACAAACGACGTGGTGTATGAGCGGTTTGTTTTTAATACAACACCCCAGAATCACCTGTTGTACTTCCACGGATGCTACGATCCTACTGTTTGCGGAATAGGAATTATGGGGATTAGAAATGAATACATTAATAAAGTACCTATGTGACGTTTGTGTACTACATATTTTATATGTTGATTGTAAGTTTGCTCGTGGCAGTTTGTGTGAATAAAACTATGTAGTGGATGTTGTCGCAGGCAATGAACTCTACGAATTTATTCAAGCGATCGTAACAAATAATAGAATAAATTTACTATTGACAATATTCGTTGGTAGTTTTAGGCAACACGTAAGAGACGAGTAACACGTAATGACAGAATGACATCACCACTGCCGGGCGGGTATTGAATCTAGTGAATACTGAATAGCGATGACACCTATAACTGTATTCATATACACGTGGTTATTGAAGATCCACAACCAGAACTGCCAGTTTGTATAATTATAGGCGTGATACTAGATCAATTTATCACGAAACGCATTGTATCAGTCATTCAGCTTAATTAAAAAGAGGGATAAAAATAAACATATTGAATTCTACATTGTTAAATTTATTTAATATTATTATACTAACGTATACTTGTTTATATTATTTACTTTTATGCATTCCTAAACGGCTGGAAGGATTGCGATGAAATTTGGAATAGAGACATATTATTACAACTATTAGCAAAAGATAGGGTAAGTTACAAAGTGATAGGCTCAACCCCGTTAGTGCCTAAACAGAAATTTTGAGATTTACGATGAAAATATTTGTTTATTTATAAATGGTTGCTATTATTAGTGATGGTTATATATATGTATAGATTATGATAAATAAAAGTTATTAAGATCTGGTTGCCATGGGAAATTATAAATAGTTAAAAATATATTTTTTATATTCATATCATTGTATATATCATTATATCAACGAGTCTGTACGATTAATTCATACGTCATTCTAAAAGTTTAATTGCTTCTTTCCTTATAATTCTATATTATAATACTTTATTCATATCTGTTTATATAATAACATTATTACAACATATATCCCTGAATTATTTTTAACTGAGTACTTCATAGTCCGTAAAAAATCCTTCCTCTTAAATTATGACTTCTAAAAAAACATCAATCAGTAGTTGTATGCCTCAAGCACGAAAGAAAATAGTAACACTGGCTTCAGAAACAATTGAGCAAAGAGATGCGAGATTGGGAACCAACAGACAATTTAATGCTCGATACGGACGAATCACTCACACAAATTTGAATCTCAGTGCATTTCAATACGATGTTAATTATAATTTAAAGCATTCATCCAAGTGTGGTTATTGGAAAAATGAATAAATTATGTATATGTTGTAGAGTATTCATATTTAAGAATGAGACATCAGGAATGTGCTGTGCTGGTGGAGAATTACTTTTTGTAATTACTCGGACTAGCGTTTTTCGATAGCTGATATCAGAATGTAATCACTAATCATCAACGCAAAATTTGATCCTAGCTTTACTCTATATTTATGATACGGAAC